ATAATTTGCACCATAGAAATTGCTAGAACCAATTTGGTTTGCTCTTTGTTTAATCTTTTCCAAACATTCCAATGAAATAGCCAAAAAAACCTGATAAAAATACGGAAGTCTGTCTCCACAAACAAAGTTGTGAATTTCCTTATTGTGACTATGAGATATTAAGTCAGATACTTAAAAAGTCACAACATCAGTCGACTGTGACTTTGTTTCTGGTAATTGCGACTTTATTTCTCACAAAGTGGCTTTATGTTTTACAATCCAGCTATATACAGTATCTCATAATTGCAACATTATCTTAACATTATATATTAACATTATATTTTGTAAATTAATTTCTCAAAATTGTGACGTTATATTTCACAAAGTAGATTTACAGCGGAGATCAAAATTAGAGCACAGTCTATAAATATTTATTTTTTTCTGAAATATTGTTCATCTTCATCGCTCAAAATTTGAAGGAATATTAGCTGTAGGTATATCACTGTTCTACTAACATGTTTGACAAAATAACCAAGGCATTTCGACAAAAACCTTTCTTTTGTGGAAAACACAGTGATCAGAATTAGAGAACAGTAACCACTGTAGCACGAAAGAAGATTACAACTAAAAGTTTGGAGGGTTACAGCTGTAAAAAATTAGTAGGAATTGTAGAGGCCTTTGCTTTGAATGACTCCAGCACACCTGCGGCTGCAGGATATCACTAGTTTCTCAGACTGTGCTGGTGTGATTTTGGTCCACTCTTCTTCCACTCTCTTCCATAGTTCAGTAACTGTAGTGGGTTTCTTAGCCATAACTTTGTTGCCAAGGATTTTACAGAGATTTTCAGTTTGGTTTAGATCTCTGGGCTGGCCATTTTATTATTTCAATGATCTTAGCTTCAAGGAACTGCTTTTCCTGTTTTGCAGAGAGACAGGGACATTGTCTTGCATGAAAATTGCACGATGATTGGGAGATGCTTGTTGCTGAAGGAGGTTCTGATAAATATTTGCATTCACCTGCCATGTAGCTGTATAAGAGGCCCAACTCCTGCTGCAGAAGACATCCCCCCAAACCCTGACACTTCCTCCTGCACCTTTCACTGACTTCTTTACGCACTCGGGCTTCAGTCTTTCCCCAGTTTGACGCCGAACACAATGTTTCCCATCAGACACAAATAAATTAAACTTGCTCTCATCACTAAAGTGAACTTTGGACCAGTTCTCCTCTCTCCACACAATATGCTCCTCAGCAAAGGTTAGAGTAGCCTTTATATTCTTTCTGCTGATGAGAGGCTTGGTCACTGCAGAGTGCATTTTCAGTCCGACTTCTCTTAAACGTGACGAGAAAGATCCATACCCTGTTCAGTGCTGAACTGTGAGCATTTTCAGCCACAGTGTTGAGCCGATTCTCCATCGAGAGTCTCTGCATCATCCTGTCTTCTCGTGCATTTGTCTTACGTGGACGACCAGCCTTTTTGAGGAACTTGAATGAATTAGTGTCATTGTAAAGCTGCAATATTCGAGAAATCACAGATTTGGAATGACCAACTTCTCTTGCAATGGCTGAAAGGGTCATCTCTTTGGCCTTCGTCTGGACCACCTCCTGTCAAGGGTTTCAGTCACCTTAGAGCGGCTCGCCATCTTTACAATCTTAGTGAAAATTGGAGGAATGTTGCCAGTTAAATAGGGTTTGTCATATGTGACCCTGGACCACAAAACCAGTCATAAGGGTCAATTTTTTGAAATTGAGATTTATGCGTCACATGAAAGCTGAATAAATAAGCTTTCCATTGATGTATGGTTTGTTAGGATAGGACATTAGGATTGGCCGAGATACAACTATTTGAAAATTGGGAATCTGAGGGTGCAAAAAAACAAAATTGCCTTTAAAGTTGTCCAAATAAAGTTCTTAGCAATGCATATTACTAATCAAAAATTAAGTTTTAATATATTTACAGTAGGAAATGTACAAACTATCTTCATGGAACATGATCTTTACTTAATATCCTAATGATTTTTGGCATAAAATAAAAATCAATAATTTTGACCAATACAATGTAATTTTGGCTATTGCTACAAATATACCCCAGCGACTTAAGACTGGTTTTGTAAAGGAAGTTAGCACCAGGTGCTCGATTAAAACCAATAACTTGGAGGTATCTGTAAGTGTTCTCTAATTTTGATCAGAGTTCTTTTTCAAATATCTCATTTAAATTTTTTTTTTTTTAAATCATTTCTCAAATATGCTTAAAACTGCCCTTCTACCCCTGTTAGGATAACTTCACATAGGACTAAGCAGTGACCTTGAAATTTAGGAAATTGTTGTTCTCTAATTTTGATCTCCAGTGTATGTCTTGCAGTTCAATGTTATATCACAACTTCTGACATTTTATCTCACAGTTGAGACATTGTTTCTCATAACTGCAACTTTATATCTCACAACGTGACTTTATATTTCATAACAGCGTAACACTTTAAAATAAATTGGTTAACATTAGATAATTATTTACATAATTATTAGAACATTATTTAACATGAACTAATGAAAAATACTTCTAAAGCATTTATTAATCTTAATGATAATTTTGATATTTACAAATACATCAAAAGTTGTATGTTAATATTATTAAATGGAACTGCTAACATGAACTAACAATGAACAGTTGTATTTTTATTAACTAGCATTAGCAAAGTTTAATAAATGCTATAACATTATGTTAATGCATTAACTTACATTATACTACGGGGCTGTTGAATGCTTGAATCGGATTGGCTGATGAACGTTCTAAGGTCTGCAATTATTTTCGGATAAACACTCGGCTAATGTAGTTCCAGGCAGGTCTTGACTGCATTACGTCTCTATCACTTTCCCAATGACTGCAGTTATTTCAAACGTCCTTACAGCCTACAACAGCAAAAGAACCAAAACCCACAATGACTCTGACTAAGCAAATAAATATAGTAAACAACAAGATAAAAACCGCAAATTCTTTCCATGTTTTTGCCACAAAATTATGTATGGAAAGCATACTCTCTTTCACCTGCTCTTTCTCCGTTGCAAACGCACACATACAGTACGGACACACACGGTAACATACACGCACACAGAAACGTGTTGTCAGCACTGCTCTGATGATTTTATCAGTAAAATAGTTTAGCAATTTAAAAGCTACTTGTCATTTCTCACTAGCGAGGTAATAACAGCACTGTTCATGAAGCAGATGAACTTACAGTTTCGCTATTAGTAGAGACGCTGGTGCCGAACTCTGTTGAGTTCTCTCATAACTGCATTAATAACTGCATTGGTCTGCTATCAATGGCTCAAGCCTCTGTTACAGGTCTAAAATTATGTTTTGGAATTTGCAATGGAGGCATGGGATGAGATGTGTAAGAAATTAATCCTACACACAAGAGTGTTTAAAGGACAAAATCCTGATGAATGTCTTGAAATACATCATCTGAACAATGTCGAAAGGTGTGGTAACTGTAGTATAAATGGAATAATTGACTCTGGTCCATTGAATTATTAGAAAATAATGCACACCCGAGGTGGTGATGCGGCCACGATGCGAAGTGTTTTCTATAACAAATCTCACAACTGTATCTCTTGTAATTGTGACTTCATATTTCACAATTGCAACATTGCTTCTCGTAATTGTGATTTTATTTCTCACAACGTGGTTTTATGTCTCGCGATTCAGCGTTATATCTCAATATCAGGTTTTTATTTCAGTTAAGATTTGGTTTCTCGTAATTGCAACTTTTATTGTTATATCTTACTTTTAAATTTAACTCACAATTTTCTTTTTTATTGTTTACTCTGAGACAGAAAAAGGGTTCCACAGCAAGAGCTGAACTTGTGACCTCTTAGACTTAAGCAAAGAATATTCCTCTGAGTCACATCAGCTCCTGCTCAGGTGGGGCCTGATCCCCCCTGAGACAGAAATCCTAGAATCGCCCTTTTCTGCACCGTCAGAATGTAGGAGCCTGGGAGAACAGCATATCGCACAATTAGTTGGAAGGTATTTCCTAAGCTGATTTATGTTTCTCCCCTGGGCACTTGAGCACTTCGTTGGTGGTGGCCTCATTCAGGTTGTTGATCTATGTTGCATGCTCTTTTTTTCTTCACTATGAGGACTGAATTGGGGGAAGGTCCCTCCCTGAGCCTGGGGCCACACCACCCCCGATGGGCTTGGTCTTGCCTCCACATTCCTCATACCTGTGTGTATGTGCAAGCTGTCTGCCGTGACACTGTGAGACTTGTTCTGGGGCACCTCACATGCCGTCAAACAATCAGAGTGAAACATACACAAACACACATATGCACGCACCTCTCACAACCCTCATGCTGCTGCAAACCTCCACACGCAACTACAAAATGCACAATGTAAAAAATAGCGATGTAAAGTATAAGTCATTCCTTCTGGAAAAATCCATCTTAACTGAGTTTTGGAACATGTAATTGACCACCTTAGAATAGTAGTTGGTTTTTAGCTAATAAACAAATAAACTTGAAACTTGAGCTAGTCTTATTAAGCTAGTAGACCATCTTGGATAAGCTACAAATCAGATATCAGCTGTTTACACCAGTTTAAGGTGGTCGTGCTGGTTTTGAGAGCATGGTGGGAGGTCAACCAGCTATAGACCAGCTAATAACCATATTATACCAGCTAGAGACTAGCTACCATGTTCCAAAACCCAGCTACCAGCTTGAACTAGATTTTCTATCAGGGGTGAGATACCTGGAGTAATCTCAATTTAGAAGAGCAGCCAACTATGCACTTACAGATATGTGCAAAACCCTGACATAAACACACATACTTGTTTTTCAGTATTCTGCCCATGTTGTGATCTTGTGCACGTCTTCATCTCTCACCACAATACATTGTCAGCAAAAAAGAATGTATATATTTGGCATTCGCCAAAATGATGACAGCCCATCAGCACAGACAGACTCTTGTCTTCCTTCCTGTTGTACACCACGCTGATCTTTTACTTTAAAGAAAAGTTTTTTTCACTTACTGCTTTGTACGTGCACTGTACTGGTGCCATTCTCCTTCCCCAGAATATTCTCTGCCACACATGTGTAATTCCCAGAATCCTCCAGCTTTGCACTGCTGATATGAACTTTGGAAGTTTTCCTTCAAGAAGAAGACAGACAGCAATAGGAGAAAGAGTCAAGGATACCGCTATTAAAAATGGAAGAGGGAGAAACTCTCCAGAGAAAACCTCTGTATGAATTAAAGATCAGTTCAAGTCTATAAACAGAGACAGAACAGACATATGACACTCTGAGAATCCCAGAGTTCTGGTTTGTAATAAGTGAGCTTTACATTGCTGTAGCCTTCCACAAATGGTTATTTTTGGTGAAGAACATGACCAATGAAGATCATTTACCCTTAGATCATTTCTTTATATTGTCTTTTCTGCAGAAGATCATTTTCAAAGCAATTTACCCACATTAATATTGTTCCAAACACATTTTTATGGAACTCAAAAAGTAGAAAGAACCTTCACACAAATCTTTCTATATGACAGCTCATAGTGACCATGTCTGTCAAAAAAAAAGACATAAATGTACCATAAAATATCATAAAATTATACATATTAATTGTGTGATATATTTCATGTCTTCTGAAGTCATATGAAAGCTTTGTGTGAGGAACAGACCAAAATTGAAGTCACTATTTACAACAAATCTTTGGGTTCCCAAATGCAGGATTGATTCAAGCTTTAATGCATGTGTTACTTATAACTGTCTTTGAAAGAGTGGCATGAAGACTTGGGGGGGAAAACGGTATATATACATATTTTGTGCCATTATAGCATATTGTAACAACATAAACTTAAAATGCCCCTATTATGGGTAATGAAAGGTTCACATTTTGGTTGTGGGAGTCCCCAAAACAGGTTGACATGCATGCAAGTTCAAAAAACACTTTCATTGTCTTATAATATGCATTTATTTTTTACCTTACTTGCTCAATGACTCCCAAACGATTTGCTCAACGATACATTTTTCCAAACCCCTCCTTTGCGTGGCGCTAATCTGCGCTGATTGGTCCGATTGGTCTCATTTTCGTTTCATCATGCCTGTAATGCCTGATAAAGCAGCCTTTGCAGTGCTGCTTTGTGTACAGCGTTACCGTGGAAACATCAGATTTAAAACTTTGCAGGATGTTTTCATTCACTTAGAGCTGTTACACACTGCATGAAAGGTAATTTAAAAAAATCCATAATAGGGGCACTTTAAGTAATGAAATATTAATAATAATTTTTAGAGAATTTTTGGACTCACAGGTTGGTAAACCAGCTTTCCCATTAGATGAGGGAGACCAACTTAAACCGTCTGAGATAATTTTAAACTAATACTGTTTTCAGCAGAGTTTTCATTTTTGGTGACCTATTTCTTTAATTGTGTCATTAACAATATAATAGACATGCATGCTGAAACACTTCACTTTAATTACAAGGGCACAGTCCGTCTTTAGCACACTGCCCAAAGTATGAAGCTCTTGACTTATGTGAAGGTCACAATCCACTCTTCGAATGTTTAATAAACGTCGAGACCTGGAGGTTGGGTTCTACTGGTGTGTGCTAGTGGACATGCTGACTCACTTGCCGTTCCTGGAAATTTTGATCTCTTTGCTCTTCTTCAGTTCAGCGCCATCTTTGTACCACTTGTACTGCGGGGTGGGGTTGCCAGAGGCCTCACACCTCACAATCAGCCTGCTTCCTTCGTCCACCAACACAGGGTTTTTCATGCGCTTCAGTGAGGGAGGAGCAGCTGAACAACAGAAAGAAAGAAAGAACGAATATTGTGTTACAATACTTATTTTTAACACCAACATGTAGTAGGGTTGATGCAGTGATGGAGAAAAGAAGGGAGGGACGCAGAGAGAGAAAAATCCAGAAAAGTCTCTTAGCTGGCCAGATGATGTCACCAGAAACACTGGCAGTGTGAAGCAGTTCTCTCTTCCCTTCAGTCCAGTGCTGAGCTCTCTCTGCTCTCAGGGATCAATGCAGTACATTTACAACACTAAAAGACCTGCATTTTGTGGTGCTCTTCACTTTCATGGACTTGACAACACATGTGAACATGCTAAAATAACAACAGGATTCACAGGCAGCGTCGGGAGTAACTAACTACACTAGCGACACTACTAACTTAAAGCGATAGTTCACCCAAAAATGAAAATTCTGTCATCATTTACTCACCCTCCACTTGTTTCAAACCTGTATGAGCTTCTTTCTTCTGCTGAATACAAAAGAAGATATTTTGAGGAATGTTGGTAACTAAACAGCTGACGGTAACCATTAACTTCCATGGTATGGAAAACAATATTAAAGAAGTCAGTGGCTACCATCAACTGTTTGATTATAAGAATTCTTTAAAATATGTTCTTTTCAGAATTTTCATTTTGAGGTGAACTATGCCTTTAACTTACATTGTTTTCAAGACGTCGGAGACGTTCTTGTCTTCCCCTGCACCGGAGTCGACACAATGGCGGACTGATGACAGCTCACTCAGGGCGGGTCTAAGGTAAGACGCTAGTGTCAATCATCTATCGTGGGAGGGGCCTGTGCAGAACTATGTCATTCTGACAGGAATCTCAGAACAGCCTGATTTGAGAAAGGGGATTTTTAAAATAGGGATTTAAGAAAAAAAATATGTTTATATGTCTGATTCATTCAAGTAAATCAGTTTGTGCTAAACGTCTCTCTCACTGACATAAAGTTTATGAATGTCTGATTAATTTTAGTGAACTGGTTCATTCTAAGTGGTTCTCTCTGTCAAAGTGTTGATATGTCTGATTCAAATCTGATTATCTGATTCAAATGAATCGGCTCTCTCTTTATAGGAAGCATTGGAGTGTTCAGTTCGTTTTAGTGAATCAGTTCATACCAAATGGTCCTCTCAGTCAAATGTATGATTCATTCAAGGGAACCTTGTGCTAGATGGTTATCCCTCTGATATGAAGTGTTGGTGTGTTGGATTCATTTGACCGAATCAGTTTATGCTAAACTTCTTTCTCTCTATGTACCGTAATAGAATGTCCGATTCATTATTCTGAATTGGTTTGTTCAGTTTGTGTTTTAAAAAATGATTTACACAAAAAGCAGAATATCGATGTCCATTACTATGTTTTCAACTCATTTATATAAATTAGTGCATATTCTAGTTTATAGCTGTTTATTAGATTGTTCAAGTATTGTTTTGTGCCAAAAATACTGCTCTAATAAAAAAAAACAATTAGTTATAAATTTAAAAAGATACTGATCCCTTTACTAGCTTAAGCTAACTACTTTGTTTCAAATCAACAGTATTTGTCTCATTATTCAGTTCTTTTCTTGCTTATAAGAAGGAAACCCTAGAAATTATGATTGCTATCATTCATGATTTGGTGACTTCATCTCATATAATTTATGAATTAGCTGAACTGACAATAAAGAACAAAACCCATCCAATCTGAGACAATGACCTTAAAGAATGTTTTTTTGAAAAAGCATGTCGTCAAAACACCAATGTTTGAGAAGAAACCAGAGAGGCTTGTCTTTGACACATTTTGAAATTATGTAAGAACAGTAACTAATGACAGCTCCTTCATAAATCCTAAAGAGACACTCAATCTCGACAACAGTCAAAACACAACAAAATGGAGGACAACAGCGCTGAAAGGAGGTGAAGTTGCTACATGTGGGCCACCACATGCCCAGACGCTGCCATGCATAGTCACTCAGGAAATGCATTATGGGATTAATGCAGACTCAGACAGCAATAACAAGGCTTCAAAGAGTTACGGTTCCACAACCGAAGGGCAGAACTGGGCGATACTGTTTGGCCGTACCCTACTGTCCAGGATGAGAGAAGGCCGCATGCCGCCCCAAGGCTGGGGCAGGAGTCGGTAGCTCTTTGGGCCTTCCCAAAGCGAATCCATGTTGGCAATAACACTTTTACAATGGCTGCCTCTTCATTTCTTGACAACGCACATGATCAATACCCAAATAAAAGTTATCAGCTATTATTGCAAAGGATGGAAAGCATCAAAAAATAAACAGATGAGAACACAAGCATTAACATCAATTAGAATCTTGAGGTTGCTAAAATAATCAGCACTCATCCTAATTTTGGAACTACTGTTCCACTTCCCTGTCCCAGTAAAAGCAGCTGTTTTATCCGAATGTCTGCTTTCATGGCTGAATGATGCAGTCTGTTCTGATGTTGCGTAGCTCAAAGTAACATGACAGTCTCTGGCACAATGTTTGGATTGTACTGTCAGTCGAATAACATCTCAGGTTTCCCATGACAGCCTCCAGTGATGCGCATTCTCTCCGAAAAACCGCCAAGTGTCCGACGTAGTTCTGCTTCGCACCATTTAATGCTCACTGCTGTCTTTACCCCTCGGAGGCCATTAGACTGATGGGATACAGTGCGCCAGAAACGTGATTCTTTATACAAATATTTAAAGACACTGTAATCTCCCTGTATATTTGTGCTGAATGAAACCATACTGATTTATCGCCTGAAAACCTTCTGAATTCAATAAGCACAGTTTTCTTTTAATTAAACAGAAAAGTTAAAAATGTTTAATAAATAAACCAACATCAACACTGACTGAGAAAAAAAAAGTAGTTAGAATTTGATTTCATGATACCCAACAGAAAGTCACATGACAAACAAACCGAAAAGTTTCTCTGAGCCTTTATGAGAACCAAACTGATTTTATCATCTGTCTAGGAGCTGGATGAGTAAGCAAAGGCCTTTTTATTTTGTCCACAATGTTAAATTGTAGCTTTTTCTCACCCTAAACTCAGGGCACCTGCATCATTATTACTCAGCATGACTTTTGGAGTGACTTTTGTGCAACACAGCTTATGATGAATTCAAGCCGTGCAAGTGTGTGTTTCGCATTACAGGCTGCATATCCGTTATTGCGACTTTATTGAAGAAAGTGTTAGTGACAGATGCATATATTGCGCATAATGGCTAAGTAGGGTGCATTGGGGCTGAATCGGGGGTCGAGAAGGTCACGGTTAAGCACATGGCATGTATGTGAGGGTTCTGTGGAGAATGACTGACATGAGGCATCTTGTTCCGAGTTGCTTTTGTACATGCAGGGTGATACTTGCCCGTGTTCAGATAAGAAGGGTGGGGTGTCTGATTTGTACGCTTCATGTTTTCCCGACTCCAGAGTAATATTCTGAGCTTTATACAGTCATACTCCATGACAGAGTCATTCTAGACTATTCAAACTCATAAAGAAGATCAAACAGAAGTATGTGGTTTATTAAACTAGTTGCTGAAAACTGTCAGATCACACTTAAATGGCAAGTCATAACTAATACCACATGTGCGTAATATATCAAGCATTATCATGTCTCAATTTCAGGAAGAATAAGCACAACACAGACTGAATAATAACCAGCAGAGATAGAAAACCATTATTCTTAGAGTTTATAGCTCATTTAACAGCAATTAAACTTCTGCGACTGTGGCAGGAACGTTTGTTTGCGCTTCCTGAGCATGTAGATTGTTTCTCCATACCACCCCGCAGGTAGAGTATTTCATCAGAGCTTTAACACAACTGTCACACTTTTACGAGACGCATGACACTGTCTCTGTGGCCCTGCCTGTAATTCAGAAATGTTTTGGAAATGCATAACCTGAGGGACAGTGCCAAAGCTCAGTTTAAGCTGGCAAAATCAGTCTGTGGTTAGTAGAAAGGGAAGGATTATGGAAAAATGTATAAACCGCACAATCTTTATCAAGCCATGGCACAAATCGCAGTTCATTTGCCTTCCCGCTGTTTCCAAGGAACCAAGCGTTTATTTTCACTTTCGTGTTATGACACATATCTTGTTTGGATACATAGTTTCAGTATTCCAAGAAAATTCCTCACGCAATAGCTGTCAGAGTAAGGTGCAGCATTGTGCTGAAGGTTTATGTTTTACACACGGGAGTGTGGCATGTGTGTGTTCTTGAAGAATAGATCTCATTTTGTGTCTCTGGTTGCTGTGTTCCTGTTGAGAGTGACGGCACATAATTCACTGTGTTTTGAATTCAATTCATACACAATTCACTGGCTTTTTGACCGTTTTAAGCATTATTTTTATTTTTATTTTGAAACATTTACAAATTTAGCCTTGAGGTTCCTTTTTTGTTGTGATGCTTGCTGCTGCATAATGGTGCCCCAATGTTTCTACACTTTTCATGTACACATGTTATAATGGCTTTCTTTCATGTTATAGACCACGAAATAGCAATTGGTTTACAGTTTTCACAAAAACAAAATAAATTATAAAATGTTAAACCTTACAATTGAGCCTTTAAACAATTTTTTAAGAAAAGAGATGAGTCGGAAGTATAAATAATGATATTAATTTAAAACGAGGTTATGTGGGTGGATTTTCGCATTGGTCTGAACACAAACTGCAGACGTGATTATTGAAAATGCACATTGATTCTCTGCCAGCAGGAAGTGCTTTTGGAACATCAGAAATACAACGGTTTCCCCGGTAACGACTGTAAACAAAGCAGCGCTGCGCTCATAAACACTACTTTTTCAGATAAAATGAAAATGCCATGGAAAGTTTTCTGAAGACAGTTGGTTCCCTTAAGAAAAATAAAATATAAATATAGAAAAATATAGCCTATATTGAGGAGGAAAGTCCACTGATGACTGTGATGAGTTACCAGCGTAAGCCTGTGTGCCAAAGGCTGTCTAATTCTAAACTTTAAAATACATTTATTTTAGTTATTTTAACTACAAATTTAAATGAAAAAAA